CATCCCTCCGGGAGTGGGGGGAGGAAGAAGAAGGGGAGTAAGTGAACGGCTGCGTGGTTCCGAGTTACCGGCTTGGCTTAAACCACGACAGTACTGAAGTGAGGAAATAGTTCATCTGAAACTATCTTCCACAAATCCTTGCCATAATAAGACTTTTTCTGTTTTCAGTTTATTTTGTAATAACCTTAGGAATGGCACAATGGACAAACAATAAATGGATAAGTAGTTTTAGTAATATGATCATTACAGTATGCTGAGACATCTAGTCTGATTCTCTGTTACATTGACTCTTATGTTCCTTTTCCTTTCATCTACAAGCTTCTGCTTGTAGGAGCAGCTCTTTACTTCTCAATTGGAAGTGATTGTCAGAAGTGAACATACTCAGCTAACCTTACCTGACTTTACTCCCAGGCTTTCCCATTCTTCCACAGACATAAATCCATGTTCCACAGGAACAGATGGTGTACATGACATTTCTTACTAATCTCTTCGTCGTTCTTGTTGCTGAACGGTCAAACTTAAAATATTTAATGTTTGAAGCAACACAGTGGCTGGAAGAGTGGCTATAAAAATAAAAAGTTCTATAACACTTTCAGTTCTTCTGGAAAAGTTAAACATTTGAATAATTCACCTTTAAAACTGCTGTACAGCTGGAAATTACAGCTTTGGGCTAAAATGTGTGTGCCTGAGAGTAGATGGGGAGTAAATCTATAGGAGACAGTGGATTAAGATAACTGGTATTGAAAGGAGAATCACCTATTGAAATGGAGAATCACTGCTGTGCTTTTTATTGCTATTTGTAATACCAGCCTCACTTTCACAGACTATTCTAGGTAGGTCTAGCAAATGAAAAGCAGGTTTGAAAAAAGGAAGTGAATGGAATTCCAACAGCAACAAATACAAGACTGGGGAAAAATGTGTACAACTGTGAAAAGCCATATATGAGCTGGCATATATTTTCCATGAAACCTCGTGAAAACATTTAGCCCCATTTGAAAGTGTGATAGATTCTCTTTGATAGCTGTAACGGGGTCTGTAGTAGTTGCAGCCTAATATTTAGCAACAAACACAGTTGGTCCTATGTGGTGGGAATTATCTTTAGAATTTGTGCATATAGCTTTGAAAAATGAAGTCACAAGCAGTGCAGATACAAAGATTCCCTACCCAGCACAGCAGTCACCAGAGTGTATGGAAAGAGGAGAGCACTTGAAAAGGCCATCCATAGGCATAATTGCTTAGCTAGTTTTGTAATTAGATTGTGTGATTAAATTAGATCCATGGTGGGAACCCCTTGGCTAAAGCAAATTATACTGGAAAATACAGGCCGTATTCTACATCTGGTTTGTTTGGAGTGATACCAAAGGAAAGAAACAGGAGCTGCAGATTCTTCCAGTCTTTGTGTGCCACAGGACTTATTCTGTCCAAGGGAAGGTCATGGTCCATCAGTTTTTCCCTTCCTATTCTAGCTACAAGCACACCGTAGCCTTCCACACCAGTAGTTTTTATCCAGTGGGTATCTGTGCTCTTGGTGCCTTCTCTTTAAAGCAAAGTTTGCTTGAACAGAGAAGTGTAGAGGCTTTATTCCATCCTGCTTCTCTGCGTGGCCTCATAACAATTATGGTAACACAGCCTTTAATGTTTGCTCCCCAGATGCTGATGAATGCCAACTCTTTGGACAAGAAATCTGTAAAAATGGCTTCTGTTTGAATACGCAGCCAGGTTATGAGTGCTACTGCAAACAAGGCACATACTATGACCCTGTTAAGCTCCAGTGCTTTGGTAAGTTTATTTAAAGTGGTCTTGTCACCATAATGGTATGCAGATGGTCAAAACAAGGAGAGTCGTACAGCATGATTCCCATCAGAACTGCTGTAGTCCCAGCAAGGGGAAGAACACTGGGCCTCCAAACTCCTCTAGCAGCTTTTTAAGAGGCATTGGGTCATTTCCCTTCCCTTCTGCTTGGCTGGGCAGCAATTCTGGCTGATATGGCAATGGCATGTAGAGCAGGCTTTGCTTTATTTGCTTCCTTTTTCAGCAAATTGCTCTCAGGAGTTTGCGTCTCCAAAACAGCCCCCTGTGCTCCTCTAAGTGCATAGGCAAGGCAGCACAAAGTGATCAGAGGTGACTTTCTCTTTGTATGCATGCTGCTTCTTCACTCTGCCAAAGTACAATTTAGCCTTCTGTTCTTTTTATATGCGGTGAGCAGTGAAATCCTGTATGTTGAAGCTCACCTTTCACTTGGTAAGTTTACTATAATAAATTAAATTAACAGAGTTTGGGTTTTTTTCAAGGGCAGATATTTTCCACAAGGAGTTCATATGAAACGTGAAATTACAGTTCAGGTGATCGATACGTCCATTTTACAACCTTGTATTCCTGTGGTTCTGGTATTCAACTGAAAATTACTCATAACCGTGACCCTGACTTTTGCTTTGTAAGCAGAAAACTATGTATAATGTGCAGAATAGCATAATTGAAGGAAGTAATTTTTGCAACCAGTGTAAGAGAGCCTTTCACCTTCAGATTCTGTGATTGTTCTTTACAAAGGGTGGGGTTTTGCTGATTTAATGTAATTTATCTGAAGTAAAATGGCATGCTCTTACATTTGAGCTAAATTTCTGCTTTTCCTCTCCAAGACAAACTAAGGAATAGAACTACTGTGGCTAGGTAAGGTGATCCCTTCTGATAATCTCATGAAGGATCTCAGAGTGTATTCCCACCTCTAATGCCTGCTGGTACTGTTCTAAAGGGATAGGAACATGAAAAGCAGCTGCAGCTGTGCTTGATGCAGGGTATGCCTGGCACTCAACCCCCGCAGCAAGCCTACTCATCCAGATGCTCCCTAATGCTGGAGGACTAGAGGTCAGCAACCTGCTGATCTGTACATCCTTCCCCATGGGCACAGGCAGGATTTTGCTGCCAGCAATTGGTATTTGCAGTAATTAACAGAAGGCATGCAGGGAAATCTGCTCCTAATATAGGAAACTAAAAACATGGATTAACACAATGCGACTACTTTGTGCTGGCTCTCCTTGATACATTTCCTTCCATTTTAAAGACACGGATGAATGTCAGGACCCAAACAGCTGTATTGATGGCCAGTGCATTAACACAGAAGGATCTTACAACTGTTTCTGTACACACCCAATGATTCTGGACTCAACAGAAAAGCGATGCATCAGACCAGCAGATTCAAGTGGTATGATCCATTATACGTATTACTGCAGTGAGTACACCTCTGTGAGGTGGTGCTGACATGGCTACAGATCCCAATAAGCTTAGACTGGGTCATGCTTGGATGAGCCTGCTCTTTTGGAGGATTTTGGAAAGCAGTGCTTGGAGCATCATCTGTTGATCCAGAAGGCATCGTGATGTAGGACTCCACAGGGCTCAACTTTACCAATGCAGACAGGAGATTACTGGAAGTATTAATGAGATTAGATTTGGGCTGGGGAGTCTTCACCCCTTGATTCACCAGCATTGTGTCTGCCTCATCCAGCCTTGTAGGTAATGTGGCACAGCCTTACTAAGACTGGGGTTTGGCTATGGGCTGACTCTGGAGATTCAGTTCAGAGTGAGTGACTACATCTAACAAAGCAAGGGATAAAAACAGGAGTAAGAGGGTATAGGACAAAATAGCTGAAATTGTATCTGTGCTTTCAACTGATTAATATTGAGGCTACATCGAACTCATGTTTTCAAGCTGTGGGCTCAGTGTCACTGTTTAAGTAAGGGTTTTGCATGTTCTTTTAATTTCAGTAGACACTGACTTCAGAAAAAAATGTTAGGTATTACGAGATTCTTAGAAACGTCTCAGAAATCCAGAGCATTATGCTGTCTGCACAGCTTTGTCTATGCCACACACATCTTTAAAAGAAATGTTACAATGGGTTTGATTACTATTGGCACTGTGTAGCCATAAATCCAGACGTCTGGTCCCTGCAACTTGCAATGAATTTTCCTAAGATGCATCTGTGAAAGGAAATGAGAATACAGACTGAATGCCAGCTTTAGTCACTCCAAATTATAAGACTGATATTTTTGAGGAGTAATGTGGTCATCCTCTTGCCTGAAACTGTGAAAGAACAACAGCATTTCTATTGTTCAATCTTCAGTTAAACAAACCAAGAGCAGGGTTGTCCTTTGAGTTCATCTAGGATGTGAAGGGAATGCAAGGGCCCAAAGGGTCTTCTGTCCTGCAGTACTGGAGCTGACACAGCAATGATCTTCTCACCTAGCACAAAGCACTCAAACCTTTATCACACTGGCAATGTCCTCCCTAATGCAGAGAAGCAGGAAGCAGGATGGTTCCTTTGCTGCCAGCAGAATTTGGAGTTGGTTGCAGAGGCCCACTGCTGCTCTTCATGGCTTGCTGTGGCAAGTTCTTTGTAGAAACAGGCATCTAAATGCTGATTACCTTTGCACTTTCAGAACTCACGATTTTACTCTTGAGCTAGGTTTCAATTTTGTACTCACCCATGCCTGTGAAAATGCAGTACAGATAATGCACAGACAAAACAGAACCTTGGTTTGTGACAACACTTATTTTTCACTCTATGTTGGAACAAAATCAAAAACTTGCAGATGTCCTTACAAAACAATTGTGCTGAGGTTTTCACATTCCAAGTGGAAGATGAAGTTTACAGTTCCTCTCCCTCTGATCAGCAGTGGTCAGAGATTGCTAGGAGTAGGAATTGCTCCTACTGAGATCTTTGTCAGAACTAGTATGCCTCTGAAATAGTCCAGCTTTCACAAAAATACATGTTTTTGTTAACGTTCATAAGAATGACAGTACTTCACAGCAGTATTCTGTCTCTAACAATAGCTGTAAGTGGATGATTAGGGACCAGAATTGCTGATAAACAATACTTCTCCCCAGCACTCTCCCAGCCTCCAGCTATTTTCAGCTCAGGGGATTTCCTGAGCCTGATGTAGTTTGTCTGTTTCGTTACTGGAACTCTCTTCCAAGTATTTGTTCAGTCCCCCGTTGAGCCCATGTAAAATTTTTGTTCAGCTCTGCCCTAGTTGTAAAAGTTCTTTCAGATGCCACCGACAGCAATATAAGAAAAGAAAAATAACAACTTTAAAAGATTCATTCCATTGATGGTGTGTTCCCCACATAGTCACCTCTGTCCTAACACTGTTTTTTGTCAAACTCTCTTTAACTTCCGTGGGAGCAGAGCTGAGTCAGTGTTAAGTATTCGTTGTTGACTACTGATTTAGGAAGTTTATTTCTTGGGTGTCCAGCCCAATGTGCTTTTAAATTGGCCCAATAGTGTCAAATCAGAACCCTTTAAGATTTTTGCAAAGCTGAACACTCAAAGGATAAGCCACCTCAAGCACTTAAATAAGGTCATAACTTCGAAGTTTAAATTTGTATTCAGCAACATCTCTAAAGCTAGGTTCTTTTTCTAATCTAAGTTTAGAAAATTCTGCATTATGTCAGTATCTTTTTTTAAATAACAGCCCTGCAATGATGATCTAATACTGTCTCCTCCACCAGAACAAACCGAAGAAACTGAGGTCTACCAGGATCTTTGCTGGCAGCATCTAAGTGATGATTTTGTTTGTAGTCGGCCTCTGGTTGGAAAGCAGACTACATATACTGAGTGCTGTTGCCTATATGGTGAAGCCTGGGGCATGCAGTGTGCGCTGTGTCCTATGAAGGAGTCAGGTAAGGAAACGTAAATGTCAATTCTTGAAATACTTAGGGTATTTTAAGGATAGTAGTGTTCCTTAACATGCCTGACAAAAGCCATCTATGAAAATAGAGGTACAGTTCATGTGCACACACATGCCTGATACTCAGCATGCTACATAACTGTTTTGGATTTTTTGTTGCTAGTGTTATAGTGGAGCTATACTAACTTCTCCACCCCATATAAAGTCCTCCAAGGCCTAGTTTGAATGTAGCTTTCTTACTACAAATGTCTTTTTCAGTAGTATGGTTTTCCATGTAGGAATATTGTGCTACACTAGTAAAGCATTTTATTCATATCATGCCTGGTTTTTTTACTTGGCCCTATGTTACTCTAACTGTAGCACTAGGGCTAAAGCAGTACATGTTTTACTTGCAGCAAGTTAAAACTACAGAGAAGCTCAGTGAAGCACTAACGTGATTGTTTGTGTCTACCTGAGTTTTATGTTTTTATAATTTACTTGCCAGGTCCCTGAACCTGTTCTTATATATCTTTACTTGTTTGAGTTTGGTTTGGAAGTGCAGCAACTGAAAAAAGTGCCTAACTTTGATGATGTTGGCTGGAGTGACTGCTGGCTGATGCTTACCCCAGGAGGAGTCCGAAGAAGAAAAATAGGGCACGATAGCAGCTTGATTTATAAGATACAGAAATCCTGAAATGTCTTTGTCAGAACAAATCTTACAGGCGGACATTCCCAGGCAATGAATTACTACATCTGCTAGAATAGCAATTGCAGTGGAATGAAATGCAATAGTAAAAAAATATATGGGGCAATAGGTAATAGCAAGAATAGCAAGGTTGCTAGGACCTAGACCTCTTCAGGTGGAAAGATAGAATGAAGGAAAGCTGTTCCTGGTGGAGAGTTAAGGTAGGCTTGAGACTTGCATCTGAAGTTTCTAGCTAGTTACGTTTAAAGCAGGATAAATCTGAGAAGGAACAGAGAAGGACTACCAAGATGGTCAGGGAATGGAGAACCTGTCTGACAAGAGAAGCCAAGCCTATAAGCAGAACAAAAGCTGCAAATGTTTGGACTCTCTTCTACAGCAGAGTCATGAAGGATTCCCACAAGCTTTTAAATTAAACAACAGTGCTGGTGTGAGGAAAAAAATTGGAACAAGTTCAGTCTGAACATATGTAGGCTTGAAATTAGATGGATTTTGATCACTAGGACCACAGGATTCCAGAGCAGCAATCCTGTGACAACAGTGGAGTACAGATCCCAACTAGCTCTCTGAAGAAACTTAAGAAATTAATTTTAAAAATTACATGAAGGTTCCTGATGGATAACATGCTAAACATCACTTGGATGACCCTCAGTCAAAGCTGAAGAGCATTATGTTGGATCCTAAAATCCTACTCCCTCCAAACATAAGATAATTTTCATTTGAAGTTAATATGCATTGTAAAGTATCTGCTTTAACCAAAACTACAAGGCATACTTTGATCCCAAATATTCTAAATCATCCTTATAGATTGGAACACAGATATTAAAAAAAACAAAAGCACATTGAATCTTTATGATGTCAGAACAAACATACAAGCTTACATTTCTTAGTGGAGGTGGATGCTCATTTGTCCTCACGCACAAATGCAGACACCCACACAGAAACCTGGAAGACTTTCTCTAGTTTCAGAAACATTTACCAAGAAAAATTTAAAGCTGACTGAACTGCATAAATGATTCATTTGACATGTCTTCAGTTTGTAGTACTTAAAGTGATATCATTGGCTTAAGAGAGTGCTTTCACACCTCTGGGCCAGGAGGTCACAGGTTCAAGTCCTGGCTGGGGAACCGGGAATTTCTCCATTTTTAAATACTTGTATATTGTGTTGGCCAGATTTACTACTGAAAGTGTTTGCTTATTTTCCAAGTTAGGGGCATTCTGAAGATTTGTAACACATCTTAAAGAAGACCTAGGGATGTAAAAAGAGTTATCACCAGAAGACTTTCACCATAAAATGGGTTGGATCACAGAACAGGTCACTTGCTGATCTGTGGTTTCCTTTTGCCTTTTTTATGCTCCTCTTGTATTTGAGGATCTAGGTGCTACACTTGGAAAGAAGGAAATACAGGCCTGCCACCATAAGGGATACATTTGCAAGTTCCTTCTGAAACAAATTCATGCTTTATTAAAAGAACCTCTAACTTTTGTGTCCCAGCTTGTCTTCAGAGCAGTTCCATTTTTCATTACAAGATTTAAAATTCCTGTTTAAGTAGCATCCAACATAAAATCAGTGGGAAGACAGAGAACTTCTGTAAAAACTGATCCATATAAATGAAAGAGAAATCTGGCCTTTCATCAGCATGAAAACAGAATTTAGGTAGCTGATGAGATCTCGAAACACTACTGTGTGCTTGATCAAACAAATCGTGCTGAAGATGACACTAAACATTCAGAGCCTGAGACAAAAATAAGTAGCCCCTGTTGAAGTATTGCAACTGAACAACATCATCTTAACAATGGTAAGACTCATAAGTATTTGGATGACAATATCAGGGTGCAAACTCAAAATAATAGTATCAAAGTCCTGGTCAAAATAGTGCAAACATGAACTGTAGTGATGCGATTGAGTACATCTTACTTGTATGAAGAATTTGTGGCAGGCCTTGTCATTAAATGAAGGAATCAAAGACAGATTGTCTTCAACTATGTTATTTCTAACATTATGATTTATGATAGCATCATATTACAAATAAAGTTTTTCAAAGATTGAATCCAACGCCAAAATGTTAATTACTGAAATGTATTCTCTCTGGGCTCACTGTGGTGTTTGGCTGTCCTTGCCCAAAGAACATTCAGTAATTAACCTAAAGAAACCACTGTGGTGTTTGAGATTTGTAATTTGCAGTCTGTAATAATTGAACAGTTGAGGAAAATTAGAAAGTTGGGTATCCTTCTTTTAGATAATGAAAGCAAAACATTCTTTCTGCATTGTATCCATCCTCCTCCCTAAAAAAACCCCACAAAACCAACCAAACAAAAAAACCCCAAACCAAACAAACAAAAAACCAACAAAACAAAATACAATCCAACCTGTTGGGTGACCTGCCTTCAGAAGTTCTGCCTCCTTGAACAATTTAGTGTTAGTGCCCCAAGTCCAAACTGTCTCTATCCAGAGGCCATCCTCTAGTACCTGGCAGCAGGACAGGCAATGATGGGTTTAGCAGCTGGGTCAAAATATCCATGGTAGAAAATAGAGAACTGGCCAAGACTGAAAAAATCTGGAATCTAAAATAAGGCCATATACACCTCATGTTAACCTGGACATGCAGCACCTGAATTATAAACCTACTAAGCTTCCAGAAGCTCCTGTAAATCCCTTATGGGACTGGAGTGGATTTTAGACAAGGTATATTATTACAGGGCACAGGAAATTTGAAGGGAGGAGATAGAAGTAACAGCTAGAAAATGCTGTGGTAGAAAAGGTGGTGTGCCAGAGTTAGTGTGTAATTTAGAGAAACTGTCTAGTTTTGTATTTGTAAAATGATCTTCTTGGAGTTTGTTATTTCAGTGCAGTCCCACCTTGGCTTCAGTAACACATGAGGATGCTAGGAAGGTGGAATTATGCGCCCCTGAACCAAAGATATGCCAGTCTGTTAAGGAGGGTTCCTTCTCCCTCTTGCAGCTGGCTGCCTGAAGAAGTTCTAATATAGAAAAAGGGGGTAAGGAAAAGCTGGGACTGAAGTTTTAACAGGTGTTATAATACTATACATTGGGAGAGGGCAGAGTGTGTGTTACATTACTACAGCTAAGAACTTGGTGGTGGTCTGACTACTAAGATAACATCACAAACACATTCTTAGGCAGCTGCAAAGGATGCCAGCATGCAGTTTATCAACCTGCTTATTTGTATAACCTTATACACACCTTTTTTACTGCAAGTTTTAAATTCTAGTATTTTGTGGGGTTTTATGGAACCACTTTATGTTTAGAAGATCTGCAGAAAGGAAGATGGTAGAACTCCAGTCAGTAGGTGTTACAGAAGTTCTGTGGGGTAGAAAACACATAAAGAACTGCTCAAGACTTATGTTGTACTTGAAGTCTCTTTATCTCCACCTTAGCATTTGCAAAGCCCAGACTAGGAAAACAGTGAGGGTAGCGGTAACATGAATCTTCCGGAGTGTTGTATAATGTAGGGTTTCTCTTGGCCAATTTCACATGGGTGTTATTTGTACAGAAACCCACATCTGTGCTGGTCCTACCAGTTTCCCCTTCCCTCAAGGAAGAGAAATAGGTACCCCTACATGTAGTTGTTGAATTCTACCCCTACACAGATTGTTTGACGGTGGTTTTGGTGCATGCAATTCTATATTCTTTGTAAACATGAGTTAGTACTAGGCTGAGCTTCCATATTATGTCAGCCTTCAAGTTCTGACTAATGTTAGTCATGAAGATCTGGAAGTACAGGGAAAACCAATGCGTGTGAAGGATGAGTTCCATCTGTCTTCTTTTGAGATGGTAAAAATCAGCAGCAGGACACTGGATTCCTTTCTGGAGACCACTGCCTTTGCATTTAGGATGGCATTGTGCCTCTTCCCTTTCTGGTAAAGACTCTGGACAAATGGGTTATCTTGAGCTCAAAATACTACAGTGATTGGGTCTTGAATATTCAAATTCATATGCTCAGTTGTGCAGATTTTCGGCTGCTTTCATTTCTGTTAATGAAGATTTTCAGTGCTTTTTATGAAGTTTAGAAGAGACATGCAGAAGAGCCTGGGAATGGTTTTCCTCGTGGAACCTCACGTTCCATGTATACTCACAGTATACATGGGAGTCAGCAAGGAGTCAGAAAGTCATTTGCAAAGTTGTGGCAAAACCAACCTGGCTCTTACTACAGCTTTTAACTGCCTAACTTGAGTAGTAGAAGATTGTTTTAGGAAATTTGAGCAGCATTAGTTGAGGAACAAAAGATGAATACCAAAAGGTTTTGAAAGAATCAGCCTCATAATAACATTGCCTCACAGATTTCATTTAGAGTATCTGCATGTGAGAATATGAATATCCTTCTTAACTCATGATAAAAATTCTTTAAGACTGGTACCCTTACTTTTTTCTTTAGCACCAAGAGTTGTAGAACATACGTGAATGCTGTCCATGACAAACCTCGGCATCTGTTCTTGGAAGATGTCAGTAAAACTACCTTAATTGTCAAATAGCACAATCTAAATGTAGAGCAGAAATATCTTCAGCTTTGGTTCACAGATGATGCAATCTCCCAAGAGAGCATAAACGTAACCAATTCAGACTGATGTCCAGAACCTCTGGTTGGGAAAGGCCATATATTACATGTAATAAATGCTTTCTTGGCTTTGTCCCTCTCTCCAGTGATTTCTTCCATGGTGCAACTATTGAGTTCTTAAATAATTTGAAGGAACTGCCTTGGTGTTGATAGCTTTGGCTCCTTTTTTGCATGTGATGGTGACAATTCTGAGGAGCTGGAACAGAAATAAAGCTTGCTTTATGGGCAGGAGCTAGGATTGGCTTTGGTGCAGCTGTTTCATGGTTATGTCAGGAAAAGCTTTTTTATGTAATAGTTTGCTTTAAGTATATGGAATAAGGAATAATTTTTCTGACTAAAGAAGTTAGGATTTTTAGGCCTCTGAGTAGAAATAAGGCCGACACAGGCTTGTGCAATTAGTTGGCCTGTGCAATTACAACAACTGCATATGCAAATTAGATGCACATTTGCACAGCTGCACTTAGGCTAACAAGCACCTATAAGCCAGTCAGTCCATCCAACTTATGTTGTGTTGTCTCTGTCATTCTAGTTTTCATCACCAATTATGGCTAATATCTGTGCCAGTACACATGTGCATCTAGCTGTAATCCCCCAGCATGCTTGTTTTATATGCAAACGTATGACTTAAAAAATGTCCTTTACATTTTTGAAAGCCTACATCAGCTTCCTTTTATAATGGCGATCCTAAGTTATACAACAAGCTGTCTCAATACTTCATTTGCAAGTTATGAGGAAAAATGTAGAAACACGTGAAGCAATGTAGACTAAATTGTATTAAAAACATAAGTCTCTTTTTCCTCTTGAACTGCAGTTGTATTGTCCCTGATCACAGCCAGGAGAGAGCAAGCAGAGAAAATAAATCCATACAGAAAAAGGTTTTATCATTGATTATGAATTACAGAATTTACTTTTTTTCCCTTAACTTTACATGAAAGATTCTTTTGAAAGTGAGCATTAATTTCTGTGACATCTAAAATGTTTTTGTCACTCAGGGGTAGTTACACATTTTCCCTCACTCTCTGACCCCTTACTGCCTTCTTGATCTAAGTCTCCTGCTGCCATCTCCCTAGGGCAAGATCATGTTGTTTTCTCATTTGTATATTTGCTGCAACTTTTTGTGCACCCATCACGCTTTTACCCGCAAATCCTATGGCACTCTGTTAATCTAGTTCCCTTCCCTGGAAAACTGTGACCAGCATTCAGCACAGTGACCTGAAATATACTATTTTTAATTTAAACTGTAGGAATAGCATAGTAAGGGGAAAAGTTTAAAACAACAGAAATTGGACGTATGCATCCATCTTGCTGTAACTTACTCTATCCTCCAGAGGGGGACGCTGATGAGTCCATTTTTCTCAGACAACCAAGCCTCTAGTTTACCTTATTTGAAAATGCCAGTTCTCATAATCTCTCCAGAATGTGCCCGCCCCTGTTATTGGTCCTAAATTTCTGTTGGTTTCTTAGGTGGGTTACTGTTGCTTTCCTTAGGTTTGTCGCCTGAGCACCTAGTAACTGAATCAACACATTACAAAAGAGATAAAGTCTATTCTACTTGGACAACTAAAGAGAATGTGCAGTATTAAGAGGCTATTACAGTTAAGTCCAAATCATCACAGTGTATGTAGCAAAACAATGATATAAATTATATATGAGGAGGACTTAGAGTGACTTAAGACTATTTAAATGCTCTGTCAGTTTTTGTACAAAAGCTCCATATACAATTAATGTATAAACTATTAAAATATTACTGTATTAACAAATGGTTAATTAAGCGTAATAGACTTCAATGGGTTAATAGATTATTACAGTTTTATGTACAGCCTCATAGAAGACCTTGGTATAGTTACATTCGCTTGTAACAAATATCAAGTTTACAGTATTCTTTAACACAGCTCTTCATCGTTTTGTAACCACTAATTTACTTGTAATGAGACCTAAAAATGCAGACATACAGAATTTGACTGGCAAAAGACCAGTGTGGCAGGAAACAAGTTTCTATTGTCGACATTTCTTTATTCTTCTTTAGATAATAAACAACTTTGTGTTGGCAAAATTGCAGTACAAAATAGTCTTGCACGATCTTCAAACTACTCAACTCTTGTGTACTCCAGAGCTCTATGGCTTTTCAAATGTTCTGACTGCTGCCTACAGAAGAAAAACATTGTTTCTACTACCAGTACCACTAAGTGAAAAATTAGCACTGTGTAATCTGAGAAACCAATGTCCAGGTTCTGGCCAATCCTTCCCATCAGATCATTCATGTGGAAGAAGCAGTGTTCTGTCAGACCTGCTTGACTTGTCCCCTTGCCCTTCACTGGCTGGTTTTATGTGGTGGTTTCTTTCACACAGGCCAGATGAGTTAGTATTTTGTGGTAAAGTATAGATTTCCTCTGCCAAGAACATTTGTGTGCATCTGTGAGAAAGTGCTTTTACACTTCTGCATAGCTTTTCTCTGTATACATATCAATGAAGGAGTCAGAGATGATAACCTGCTCTCTCCATACATGGATGTTATCTGGAGTTAGACGTGGGGAAGGAAGAATAGGGTGTTTCAGTTCCTATGTCAGCTGTTAAAACTATGTTTGTTATTGTCTCAGTGGGAAGCTGTGCATTAAGGGATGTAGCTAACATTTGCTATATTCTCTTTATTTTCTCATGCTGGCTTTGTTTCATGTACAAAATGAAACAAATGTCTTGGGCAGTGTATTTTTTTCATCTAGGAGAGGAGAGGGTTTTTGCATATAGTAATTACTTTACATATATGCTGGAGGATTATTGAAATCACCTTGCACTTGAAGCAGGTGAGATTTGCAATGATTTGCAAGTTCTCTAGGGAGTACATTCTGCAGAGTCGGACTGGCACCCATGACAGTTCTAGATGTGCACAGAGCAGCTTTGCCTGTACTGTATGTACAGTGTTATGTTCTCAAAGAGCCAAGTTGTTGACCACAGAATTTAAACAGACTTTTTGCTTTGTTTTCAGTACAAAATAAAATCATTCCAGGTGCAGGAGATCCTACCTGTGAAAATAAAGTTACAATGCTCGGCAGCAAGTGGGGCTGTGCTTTGCACTGTCTAGAGACAGTCTGGATTTATCCAACTATTTGCTGTCTGGGACAGTTCTACACAGCATGAGGTTTCTGGCTCTGTAACCATCTGCAATTCTTGGATTTTGTATCTGCTTAGGGCTTTTTTTCCTCTCTCTCTTTTGGTGGTTTTCTTTCCCGTCCTTATACTGCCTGATTCTCAGAACAGCAGGCAATCTTCACAGAAACAGATGCTAAATAGTCTGTAGCAACAGCAAAGGAGCACCTGGATTGTTCTATTTTAACAACGTTTCTATTTTCAAATAAATTGTTTTGTATATATTTTAGTAAATGCTAATGGAAACAGAGGTGACACAATAAATCAAATAAAAGAATCAAACTCAGCATCAGCATTTCAAACATGGACTTTGGCACCTAAAATGAAAAGTTGGTCTGCTTCAACTTCTGTAGTCTAGCTATCAGAGGAAGGAAGAAAATCAGAGTATTTCTCCTGTGCATTTCCCCTTGCCTTTCAAGGTCTGCAGCCAGGGCTCTTTGAACAGCACTCATACTTAAGCCTGTGGTTTGAAGATACAATTTGCAGATAAGTGTGGGTTATTTTAGAAGGATTTTTCATTCTGTGATTTCTGCAGGTTGGCTGAAAGTGCCAGAAGTATGGCCCCACCTGCTCCACTTTGCTTTCTTTGAGGTGCCCTTTGTTCCACCAGAATGAGTGTAATCACGGACAGCCCTGGAGAGGGGTGCATTAGCAGCAGTCTACACAGCATCCCTCTGCTCTCGCTTCCCAAATTGCAGGCCAGAAGAACCCGAACCATAACATTTTGTACAGTTATTGACTCAAATCTATCCCTGGTGTTATCCCGATTATGACCTAACAGTCTGTATTTGGCTCATTAACATTTTAATGACATTCTTCTTGATGAGAGAATGCTTTGTAGAAATTGCAATTTATGGTGATTCTAGGAAAATAAGTTTACTTCCAGCAAATATGAACCACAGCTCACTGGGACTAATGTTACGCAGCCTGTGTTACAAGTGTGATTAGTTTTATATCCTATTTTCTTTCCTCCCTCAGAGGATTATGCCCAGCTGTGCAACATTCCTGTTCCAGGATCTCGACGGCCATATGGACAAGATGCATTGGTTGACTTCGAGGAGCACTACACTCCAGAAACTAATCCATACTTTGTGGAAGACCGTAAGCAAGTTTCTCTGTTATGTAAAATACTTCAAATGAGGGTTGTAACTTGGATTATTGCCCTGTAGCTGGCTTCATTCTTCTGTTTGCTTCTGAGTAATGTGGCCTATTTATGTTTTAGTTATTCCTATGACACTAGCTTTCAGTCAGGTGTTCTGGTTCAAGAGCCAGTGTTGTATAAGAGTCCAGTTGGGCTCAGGCTACACTATTAATTTTTAATATAGTGAAATAGTTTGCGCCAAGCATACTAAATTTGTATTTACCAACAGATTTACAGCTAAGGGTCAAAAAGATTGCCAGTTTTCCTTCTCACAAATTACTTTTCCTTTGGAGCATAGGACAGATTTTTTTGGAGCGCATTTAATTTAAAGGGGGGAAAAAAAATCCTTTCAGGCCAGCTTTCCATGATTTTCCAGCAGAATTTATATGGGGGAAATGGTGACCAAGCAAGTCATTCTTGCTCAACAGAGAAGATGCAGAGCACAGTATGATCAGAGAGTATTCATGCACATAGCCTTCAGGCTAGATGGAATGGCCCACCTAGCAGGATGTGAGGGATTGTGTACAACATCTCACGTTGTACTTGAGGAGGAATATGAGGGTTCTTAATGGGTCTGGCCAAGCTCACTGTGAAGACCTGTGGGAGAGGAATGTTCACAGATCTCAGCATCATCCTCAAGATCAGTCATCCTGTACAGGTCCAGTATATTTCATCACACTTTTAGACAAGAAAAGTGGAAGTATCAGAAGGGACTGGTAACTTCCTGTGCTTTATACATATTGGCCTAAAAGTTCCTCTTTCCCAAAGTGCTTCTCCTGTACCAGGACTTAATTTTCAAATAACAGTAATAGGTCAGAATGGGGCAGGAGGATTACCACACACTATTAGAAGGGTGATGCACATTTCTCGTGCACACTGCACTTCATACATTTATACAGAACTACACAAATCAGATTAATGAGGTCATTTTTCTTTAGCATCTAAATAACCTTCTAGCTATACGCAGAATTGTAAAATGTCTTATTTTTTTATATCCAGATGATTTTACTTAAACAGTACTGAGTGTTGATGCTTAATTGAAATGTCACACAGATGGAAACTACCAAACACAACAAAAAGCCCAGAAAGATGGCTGGGTAGCCAATGTGATAGATAAAATACTGAGTGGGGAAGAAGCATTTTGCAAGTTATAAGCCATGGTGAATAAATACAATAAAATTGTGGACAGTTTTGAATTCAGAGCTGAGTCCACTGCCTTAGGCACAGAGGCTTAAGAGATCATGTCTCTTGTTCCCATCCTATCACTGAATCAGATACAGTGGCAAACAAATACCTAAGAAACCCCCAAACACACTCTGTCCTGATCAGAGTTGTATTCCTTGACAGACACAGTTGCCACATGTTTAGGGCATCAAAAATGTCAAGGTCACAATCCTGATATGGTCTGTATGAAGAATGCAAAAATACCTCCCATCCTGTGGCAGGGCCATGTACGTTATGTAATGTTTGTCACCTGTGTGCAATCAGCTTCCACAGAAACAATACACATATTAGAATTGCAACCCAGGTCCCATCCAGCTGGGTTGAAGTAAAATATTTTGTGTAATTGAATTTGCTGTGAGTGATAAATATTTTGGGTTTAGCTAGTTAAAATTACAACATGCTGTATTTATAAGAGGAATAGAAAAAAGTATGTCTGTATGTGTGTACATACGTATGTACATGCACATATATGTAGATATATAATGCCTTTTCTTTATTTAAAAAAAAATAGCTATGTTGCAGGGGGGCGTATTTTCCATTCTTGGCACTGTTTGTTTTCTAAAGTAGCAAAGGTCTTTAGAAGACTCTCATAAGCCCTCTGCAAGCTCTATTAAAGGACTTGAGAACATAATGAACTTGGTCAAGTTTCTTACTACATTGTTGCCATACATCACAACAGCTAGCTCAGTATCCTCAGTATTACTGCACTGAGATGTGATTTACTAGGTTCGTTGAAAAGATTGTAATATTTCCTATTTAATGTACACTTGTATACATCTTATGTATTATGTATGTTCTTGAGATATGGCGTATGTCAGCAAGTATCTGTCACACTGTGCTCAGCGTCTCCAGAATTTATTCAGTGTTAAGACTGACCACCATGATCCTTACTAAAAATCCCACTCTGCTAGAGAAAATCCAGGATAGAAACAATGTATGTAGTCAAAGAAAGGGGGAGTGGAAATGACACTACGGAAGTTAAATGGAGGATGATACAGAAAGGGCAGAGTAGGAAAGGCAAAGCAGGGCAAGAGAAAAAGGGTGCCTCAAGAACCAAGACAGGATGGAGTAAATATAGAAAGACAGGAGAACAAGCACAAGGAAAGAGATATTAATACTCCTAGGTAGCTTTGCAAATCTTCCTATTACAGCTGTTACAACAATCTAAACCAGTAAACGGGTTTTAGATAAACCAATGGTTTGTTTGTGGAGTTACTATATTAATTATATGCTATGGGGCAGATGGGGAGGTGTATCCTACTCTCTTCCACTCCAGCTCCAATTTCACCTCCATTTCTATGCTATATATTCATTATGCTGGTAAACCTACGACTCCCTGACATTCTCAACTTTTCCCTCAAAAGTCTTTTTGATGTGATGGGCTGCCATCTGCAGTCCTGTAATATCACTGCTCCAGGAATAGAAAGCTAGTGCAAAAATATTGTGCAGGACTAACAGGAACAATTCAGTTCTAGAGAGAATCTCTAAACATGTAAAAAGTTGATTAACTTTTTACATATATATCCTTCCTTATGTATAAAAGCGTAACTGTCCATAAAGCCCTATGACAGGGAGCACAAAAGGCATTGTACAAACCTCTCAATACAAAGACAACTCTTAAGTTTTGACTACTCACCACCTAGAATTATGGCAAGGACCAATTGGTAGATTATAGGTATTTGTACTGGCACCAATCACGGAAGTACAAGCCAATGGGTTGTTAACCAAAACCACAACAGGAAAGCAGTCACTGATTTCTTTTTACATTCCTTAAGGCAGTTGAGATTGATTTTTTATTTTTTTTAAATGTTTTCTTCTAGAGAAGTAAGAATGCAGCTCCCCCCTACCCACACCTTATTTATCTAGTATGCTGTTTTAAGGAACTTTTACCCCAAACTTCACTACCTTTGTTTCCATAAAGGTTGATACACATAACAATTCAAAGAAAAAGTGCTATGTAGAAAACGCTCATTTATCCTATAAAAAAAAAATGCACTCTCAAATTATGCAGTTTCCTCTAACAAAAAAAACCAAAAAAACTTAAGAGTTCACAAAGTTATTCAGTTCTCATCTTGAAAGATATCACAGTACTTTTCTAGTGCATTTAAAACTCTAGATGGTGCAGATCTGCTAAAGCTGACCTATTTTCTGCAAAGTCAAGTCGCATTCCAGTAAACTTCGGAGAGAATTTCAGAGTCCCACTATACATTTGGGTATACTGCTTCAACAGCTCTGTAACTTACTTGTTTGCAACACTTTCTCCACCCAGGTTTTCTGAACAGCTTTGAGGAGTTACAAGCAGAGGAATGTGGTATTCTGAATGGATGTGAAAATGGCCGATGTGTAAGAGTCCAGGAAGGCTACACCTGTGACTGCTTTGACGGTTATCACCTGGACATGGCCAAAATGACTTGTGTTGGTGAGGATAACATATTAATTTATCTTCTTCTGTTCATGTGTCAGTTTACTCAGTCACTTGACCTAAGGAGGGGCTGGAACAAAGGAGTTAAGAGATTATCAGATGAACTGTATTACAGATGCCAACTTTGTTTGATTTACTACAAAGGCCAGTGAATATTATTACAGAAATAACTGTTTGTGTTCCTCAGTTCATCTTGGTCATTACAACTGTGTTCAGTTAAGAGCCTAGAAATGAGCAGACACATCTGTGTAATGAAACTTAAACTAATACTGATAATTTAACACTAATATACAGAACAAATGTTTTTTAAAGGCTTTAGTGAGCTAAGAGATTGGAACTGGATCCAGAGCAGAAAAGTAATTTCAGGAGCAGTATTTAGAGTGGTTGAATCGCCTAAATATGCAGATAACCACTTGGTGGGGTTTGGCCCCTCATTCTCCCTGATTTCAACAATCAACAGACTAAACTATTCCTCTCACTCTCAAACTAGTATATCTGCACAACCATTAACCAGGACATCTAATGACTATGTCTTCAATTTGTCCTGGGTTCAGCTACAGCAGTC